AGGGAGGGGGTGGGGGCAGGGGGGAGAAATGAACCAAGCCTTGTATGCACATATGAATAATAAAAGAAAAATGAAAAAAAAATAAATAAATAAAAGTTAAGAGATAAGAAATATAACAGGTGATAACAAATTTTAAGAAAAGAGAGAAACTCTAAAATTAAAACACACAGTGACCAAAAATTAGCAAAATAACAGACTAGCTTAGCCAAGGCCTATAAGTGGCTAAAGTAAAAAGTAGTAATAACAACAATAATGATGACAGTAACAACAATGATGATGGAAAAACCAATCAAAGGGAAAAAACCCCAGGGAACAGCAGGCAAAGACAAAAACATGTAAAAGAGGGTTCTTGAAATATACCCAACATAAAAAAAAGGGCTGATGGAGTGATTCAAGTGGTAGTGTGCCTGCCTAGCAAGTGTGAGGCCAAGTTCAAACTTCAGCATCACAAAAAAAAAAAAAAAAAAAAAAAAACTCTCCCATCAAAGAACAGCCCAGGACCTAAATGGCTTGATTGGTGAACTTTACCAAACAATAACAGACCTAATATAAATTCTTCTCAAACTCTATCAAAAAAATTGACAGAGGGAATACTTTCAAACTCATTTTATGAGGCTACCATTCTCCTAATATCAAAGTTAGACATGCATATTACAAGAAAACTATAGATCTTTACCAATATAGATGCAAAATCTTCAACAAAATACTAGCAATCAAATTCAACAGCAATATTAAAGGACCATTACCATGATCAGATTTATTTATCCTTGAGGTGCCAGGATGGTTCAACATATACAATAAACAAGATACATGTTAACAAAACGAAGCACAAAAGGCCTATCATCTCACTAAATGCAGAAAATGTATTTGACAAAATTCAACATCCTTCCATAACTAAAAAGTCGCAACGAATTAGGAACAAGACAAGAATGCCCACTTCTTTCACTTCTATTCAACATAGTACTGAAAGTCCTATCCAGAAATATTATTCAAGAGAAATAAAGACATCCAATTGAAAAAGAGGTGGTAAAAATTGTCCCTAGAGACAATATGATCTCATACACAGAAAACCATAAATAACCAAAAAACAGAACTAAAACAAATTCAATACTTTGCAGGATACCAACCAAACATACAGAAATCAATACCATTTCTATATACTAACTATGAAAAATAAATCAGGAAATTAATCCCATCTAAAATAACTACAAAACTATAATGAAAAGAAATACTTAGGAATAAATTCAACCAAGTGGGTGGCAGGTCTATACACTAAAAACTATAAAACACTGATGAAACTGAAGAAGATACAGCTAAGATAGAAAATGATTGATTATACACAGCAATTAGGAAAGAGAAAATAATTCACTTAATCAGGAGGCTGAGGAGGAAGGTCATGAGTTGGAGGCCAGCCTGACCTACATAGTGAGACTCCACTCAAAAACAAAAACAAAATAGTATAGTAAGAATCATAATTTATTTTACTACTTTGAATTTATATTTTTTTAATTGGATAGCTTAAGGCTTTTTATTATTTTCCCCCCTTTTCTCTCACATTTTGTTCCCACTATCTTATTTCTTCTGGACTAATACTCTTGAAATTTTCCCACTTTTGAAAACTATGAATATTAAAGTATAAAGAAATAAAAGCAAGAACCTACCTGAAGTCTTGCTAGTTGTGCAGTTCTGGCAACTATTTTATTGTATGGCTCAACAATTTTTGCTTTTATCCTAAAGGCAAAGAGAGGGGGCAAGGGAGAGGAAGAAAAAAGTGAAAGTGAAATCGCTTTCAAAATATCAATGGATAGAAACATTTCCAATTCCTTGTATTTATAAAATAAACAACAGTACCTATCCACAGCTCCCTGTAAAGCCCCAATTCTCGTCTGCATCATCTGAAGAACACCTAGGAAAACAACAACTTACATTGACTTTGTAAAGTTACAGGTAAAAACCAAATAAAAAGAAAATATATACAAATATAATTTTTTTTCTGCCACCATCCTAATCCAAGCAACTAATACCACTACTTACATTGTAATAAAGCCTGTAGCTAGACTCTCTCTCTAGTCCTTATCCATGAAAGAAATCTGACAAGGAATTGTGTATGACTGCTTAATGTTTATAGGGTCTCCATTTGAGGTAGTAAAAAAGTTCTGGAGCTAGATAGTAGCAATGGCTATACAACATTATAATGAATTGTATACTTTAAAATGTTAGAATTTATGTTACTTATGTTAAGCATATTTTACCACAATTACCAAAAAAACCACCTTGACCAATCTTTAAAAGTTCAAACTATATCATACCAATCTTCTGCTTAAAATTCCTTCCCTAATCTCCCCTTCACTCTTACATTAAAACTATAGTCCCAATCACAATTACTCATACTATCATCTATCCAATTTTTCAGACTAAAATCTGAAGGATCACTTGTAGTGACTCCTTTCCCTCAGTTCTTTCAGCTCCATCAACAAATCCCATCAGGTCTGCTTCCATTTCACCCCACCAACTTCTGTCTTTATATCCACCACTCTAATCCAAGGCACCATCAATTTTAGCTATTCTACCAGCTTGTTAATTATCATCCCTGATTCTACCCTTGTCATTCTATAAAGCCACCAGAGAAAAAAACACACAAATTCCTTTCCAAGAAATCTATGATTCTCTCCCTCATTATTAAACTCACTCACAAAAATCATTCTAGCCTTCTTTCTATCACTCACACATACCAAGTTAATTACTGCCTTCCCATTCATTGTTCCCTAAGCTTACAACACTTTTCACCCCAGATCTTCATGTGATGGTTCCTTTTTATTATTTAATCTTAGCTCAAACATTATCTTCTCACCAAAAGGATTTCTCTGACCATCATAGATGGAAGATTCCCCTTCCCCTACTCAATCACCTGTTTTATTTTCTTTGTAGGATTTCAGATACTTTCTATTTGTACTTTTTTAAGAAAATCTATCTCCCAACCTGGAACATAAGTTCCAAAAATAAGGTGACTTTGTCCACTGTTCAGACATACTTGGTACCTACCAAACTCTGAATTAGTATTTGATTGACTGAGTGAACAAATAAATGAATGGGGATACCGATTCTTAATGAAATAGGCTTAATAAGTATAACTCCAAACTACTTACATGGCAAAAATTTCACAAGTGTAAGAAAATATGCGGATGAATGTAAAAGTTGGGATTAAGATTCAAATTTTCAAAGTGTAGCACATTTACTTTTCAGCATCGCAAAATAAGATTCCAGCAAGTGCTTAGAAATACACACAATGCTAAAATGAATACTAACCCATTTATGCTTAGGCTTTTTATTGTCAAATAATCTGGAGAGCATGCTTAGATTATCATAGAAATTCAAAAATGCCAGCCTTTGGTATTCCATACTTACATCCAAGAGACTAACTCAGCCTAACAATGTGTGTATATGTATATTATGCATATACATTTGGTTTAAAAATATGTATTTCTCCAAGAACATACATTATATAATACATAAATATATATATTATATAAGACACTCACACATATATATATATTGCAGTGCTGGGAATAGAACCAAAGTCTCACACATAATAGGAAAGTACTCTACCACTGAGATACAATCCAGCCCTAACAGTGTATTTGAAATGTTGTAATCCTTTAAAAGTGTTATGGGAAAAACACATTATAGAACTAAAATACATATAAGAAAACAATAATGAGAAATACTTCTATTGTAATGACTCATTTACACATATAACACTCAGAATCAATGTACTATCATGCCATGCATGCAAGTTTTCACAACTGAAATAGTTATAATTGGCTTTTAAAAATTACTACTAAAATAAGGTATTATATGCTCTCAGGAACCCATACACAAGTTAGGAGATCAAAAAAAAATTAATTGCCAATACTAGGTCAATCAGACTTAGGGCTATTTAATTTCCCCAAGGACACAGTCAAATACCTATCCCAAATTTTCGAGTAACAGTAAAACTATCATTTCCCAAAATAAGTTCTTCACAAGAATATCACAGAAACATGTACAATCTGAAACTAAGTTAAATCTTTGAGTACATAAGAAATATCAGAAGCATTAAAAAATACTGTATCACAAAAACCAATATCCTTCCTCAAGAATTTGATCAACAAAGGGAAAAACCACTTAACTTTTCTTGATGAGTAATGATTAATAATACTAATCACAGTACAAGTAATGATATAAAACACAATAGTAACATTTCATTCAGTTTCATTTAATTGAGAGAATGAAAAACTCATATAAGATTTGGTTAAACAAAAATAAAAGGATACATTCAAATAAAAATCCGATGTGTTATGATTCAACTATATTTTTATTAATGAGTTTCAAAGAAAGACTCCAAGAAAGGAAAGAACTAAGAATTTAAACCTACTTCTATTACCCACTTTGGTGGTATTGATATTTTGTTTTAACTAACAAAAGGAGCAATGTGCAGGCATTGTTGTAAGCATTTTGCTAACTAATTTACTCCTTAGAACAATGTCATTTTGGTACATATTAATATCTGTTTTAGAGATGGGAAAACTAAGACACAGAAAGGTTAAGTAACTTGCCCAGAGTCATATATCTGATAATAAGTAGTAAAGCAAGGATCAGAACCCAGATAATTGAGCTAAGAGGTTAGTCAGCAAAGTTTTATTTAGTTTTACTGGAACATAGCCATTCTATTCATTTACATATCATCTGGCTGACTGCTGTCAGAGTTCAGTAGCTGCAACACAGATTGTATGGTCCACAAAGTCTTAAACTATTTACTATACAACCCTAAACAGAAAAAGGTTGTTGATCCCTGTCTAGCTCCATTTAATCTGTAATAGTTGATAGAAATATACCTTCCAAAGATTCAATCCCAGTTGCTTGTGCCAGTAAATCTTCATGTCTTGCAACAACCTGAAAACTCAAGAATGAATAATCAGCATTTGCTCTATTTGGCATTTTTCTTTGTAACTACAATGTACAAAGAAAGGTTTCTGTTAGTGTATAAAAGGGACAAATACAAAAAATACTGGTTATGAAGGCATGCTTGAGATGAGTTATTAGCAGGAACACACACATTTATAGTTCAACAAAGAATAGGAGGAGATGCTGCCTTTTCACTAGCCCTGTATTAGTCTGCTTGGGCTGCAAATACAAAGTATCATCATATATTGTAGACTAGATAGTTTATAAAGAATGGAGATTTATTGTCAGAGTTCTGGAGGTTGAGAAGTCCAAGACCAAGATGCCAGCAAATTTGGTGTCTGGTGAGCAATGGCTCCTCATAAATGGAGCCTTCTAGCCAAGTACCAGTGGCTCATGCCTGTAATCCTAGCTACTCAGGAGGCAGAGATCAGGAGGATCATGGTTCAAAGCCAGCCCAGGCAAATAGTTTGCAAGACCCTATCTCAAAAAAACCCAATACAAAAAAGGGCTGGTGGAGTGGCTCAAGGTGTAGACCTTGAATTCAAACTCCAGTACCACAAATAAAATAAAATAAGGTAAATGGAACCTTCTATGTGTCTTCCCATGGTAGGAAAGGCAAACAATCTCTCTTAGAAGGGTATTAATCACCTTCCCCGAAGCCCCAACTTCTTAATACTATCACATTGGGGATTAAGTTTCAACATCTGAAGTTTGGGGGAAGAAAACATTCAGATCCTAGCAAGTCCCTTGCTTTACTCAATATCAAAGTGGAGTTAAGCCAAAAATGGAAAAATCGGCTTATTTTTGATATGCAAGTTAATATGCTTTCCCTTTTAAAAAAACGTCTTCAAACATCAAGTTCTCTTGTTTCTTGGATTTAATCTAGCACCATCAAGGCCACATCGTAATTTGGAGAGATAAAGTGCTCAGTGCTTGTCTATCCCTGAATATCACCCTGTTTCCAGTTCCCCAGTGCCACAGTAAAGCCTCTTCCCTACGAAACACTAATTGTTTCAGAAATTAGGGCAGTATAAGGGCTGCTCAAGGAGTAGAATGTCTGTCTAGCAAGCACAAGGCCCTAAGTTCAAACCCCAGATCACCAAAAAAAGAGGGTACAGGGGGAGTTCATGCAGTGTAGATGGCCCTATCAAAAACAAAAAAGGTGGAGGGAAAATAATGGTAGGGTGAACCTAACCAAGGTACATTGTAAGCATATATGGAAATGTCACAATGAAAACTCCCTGTACAACTTACACTAATAAAAATGTTAAATTAAAAAATAAATAAAATTAAAACCAAGGTTAAGTAAAAGGCTACGTGCAAGTTTCCTAATAACATTAAAATATCATACAAATTCACAATACTGTAGAAATCCTTATTATTTTGCACCCTTTATTCCAGTGAATAAAAAGATTCATCTCTAGTCTGTAAACTGAAGTTTCTAAACAGCAAAGATTCATTCACTGGTACACTTACTTTGTCCTGTTTTGGTATTGCTGCCATTCTACACCCTCTTACATCCTTCATTTTGTCCTGTTCTGAATATCACTGCTATTCTATCAAGTGTCTTCCTCTCATACCCATATAACATAAATGTTAGCTTTATTCTTCAGTCTTCTACCCCAAAGGTTGTCAGAAGACTGAATTTTCTCATCTATTGATGTGGTTATCAATGTATTCACCTTAACAAAACTAATTTTCTTTTAATTCTCTATTCTCCTTCATCTCTGTGACACTTTGAAAAGCCTGAAATCACACTTTCATAGACTTCCTTACAGCAAATAAGATGAATTTCCAAGAGATGCAGAACACAGAAGAAAGATGAAATCTATCTTCCTGTTTCAGTTTCAGCTAGTAAGCAAGGTCCTGAACCTGAAGATTTACAGAAAGTTGAGAGCCATCTTGATTGGTGTTTAGTCAAGAGGTACTAAGAGGCAGAATTTTAGCAGTGGCATACAGCTTCCAGGACTTTGTATTGCATCTATGGAACTTCCCTCACCTAAGTCTACCATCTGTTCACCTAACAATTTAACAAGCTTCCAATACAGTGTTAAATATCTTTCTGCTTTAAATACTAGCATGGTTTTAACTTCCCATACTAAGCGCTGACTAACAGTAAATCTTTCACAATTTTAGTCATCTCACTGATACTTTAAATCACTTTTACAGTATTTTATTTGGTTAGCATTATTTGAATTCTTCTGCAGAACACCAACAATAGCAGGTTCAGATCTCATACTAGAATTCAGAGATTTCATCTACTTCACATCCTAAGTTACTATAAATACTTACAGTAGCAAAGCATGACTTGTTAAATAAATTTTAAATGCTTATTGATTCCTGCAGCGAAGGTACTGAATATAAGGAAAATAGCAAGCATAAAGGGCAGAAAGAATTAGGAGGCTCGTGCAAAGTCCTACCCCCTAAGAACTCTAGGCAAAGTAAGTGCATTCTCCCCTGCTCTCACAAACACCTTTTATCATTTGATTTAAAACAAGCTTCATTTGCAAGCCTTTATTTCTTTCTGTGTCTGCAACTGATCTGTGAGTTCTTGGAGAGCCAGGAAATGTGTTCTATTCATTTCTCTACCCTCACAGCCTAACCCAAACCTGACAATTAAAAGTCTTCTAATATTTGTCAATAAATAAACTCTAAATATAATCATCAGAATTTTAAAATTAAAGTGACCTTTTAAGTCATCCAATCCTTCTAAGTTTCTCTTTTAATTCATAAAAGAAATTAGTACACAGAAAGTCTAAGTGGTGATATCTCATGATATACTAGATCCAGGTTTCTGGTAAATGGTCCATTGAGTCACACATTTGTTTACTCCTCTACACATTTCTAAAGTAACTGCTTAGACAAAAGGCATGATATAACTAGGAAGTGTATTATTAAACCATCCCATAAAAATTATAGAAGTGTAAGAAAGGAAGAAATCTTCAAGACTATCTACCGCAATCTCCTTTTCTTCATAATTCCAAACCATTAAGACATTAAGTAGCACAAAAGTTAACAACATAGTTGAAACTGAGACCATTGAGACCAATCTCCAAACTGCCCATATTGTGCTCTACCACAACATTCATTACTTTCTATGATTTCAGCAAATGGTACATTACACTTTGTAACATTTCAACTTTTCTTATTCACATTGTTTTACTTCTAAAATTCCATTTTCTATTACATTTATCAAAGACATCTTGTTTGTTGCCCACTGTAGTCACTGCACATCAATTTAGGTGGTAAACAGGATAAACAAAAGGTTCTACAGAGTCAGGTATAGTAAAAGTACACAAAAGGCCAGCCACTAGTGGCTCACACCTATTATCCTAGCTACTCAGAGGCAGAGATCAGGAAGATCACAGTTTGAAGCCAGTCCAGGCAAATAGTTCTCCAGACCCTGTCTCAAATATACCTCACACAAAAAGAAAGGCTGGCAGAGTGGCTCAAGTGGTAGAGTGTCTGCCTCGCAAGCACTGAGGTCCTGAGTTCAAACCCCAATATTGCCAAAAAAAAAAGTGTGTGTGTGTGTGTGTGTGTGTTGCAAAAATATAATTTGAAATATAAGTCTCACTGGCAAGTTATACATTTGTTCATGTAAATATGCATTTAGATTTAATAATAATGAGATTACAAAAAGGCTAAATTATCACTTTAGTTTGAATACAATAGGATCCAGAAGATTGAAATTACCTGTAGGTGTAGCTCTTTATCCAACTGACTGATTCCTTGGGCAAGTTTTGCTAGTTGTTCAGCAATTACAGCTTGATGAATAGATTGGGAAGTATAAGTTTTTACATCGAAGTCTTCACTTAAAAAGTCGCTGTAACACTCTAGGGAAAAAAATAAGGAACACTCTTTATCTACCTTATAATAAGCCACAGTTATTAAATAAAAGAACTATTATAATCATAATTAATATATCTAACATCTTTTTATATACTAGGAACTGTTATAAATGCTTCCTAAAATAATGAAGAAGTAAAGAAGACAACAGCAATAGTAGTACTCACAAGAGCTAATACGCCCCAGGAGCTGATCTTAAGTATTTTATACATAGTGACTCAATCCCCACACTACCCTGTTGGAACTATCATTTCCCCCATTACATAGATGGGGAACAGGCATACATAGGGCATGCAACTTATCCAACGCTGCTCAGATTTCAATGCAGGAAGTCTAGCTGCAGAGCCCAGGCTCTAGCCACTTTGCTATATTTCTAAATACTTTTATAGTCAATGAAAAAAAAGGAAAACACTGAATAAACACTGAATAAAAGTTGTGATGAATACACAACTACTACCCATACCCTTTATTCTAAGAAAATGAAGTCACTACCAGGAAGAACCCAAGAGAACTGGCTATTTGTAATATTTATTGCTTCAGCTATCTCCAGCACGCATACCATTATAATAAAGTGAATCTAGAATTTTACTAGAAATAGCCAAATATAAACTTATCCAGGTGTTACTGAAATTTAGGATTTATAGGTAAAATAAGTAGATTCAAAACAGTAATGCTAGGAAAAAAAATCTTTTATAAGGAAGCCACAAGTCTGTAGATAGAAAAAAGATGGAGGCTATCAAAAGATAAAAACAGACACATAGAAGTGGTTAAATATGATATATACCACAGCCTCCTAATTATGTGTTAGATTTTGGTAAGACTGACCTGACAAGAGACAGCAAAACAGAGTATTTAGAAGAACACTTCAGTTGCCTATATCCTCTATAAAACATGCTCCCTGAGGGTAAAGTGTTTGTTTACTTCCACATCCCAGGGCCTGATCAATATTGGACACATGGCAGGTGCTCAATATTGACTGAATGAATTAAATAATCTATATATCAGCTGAAAGTTATCATTCTGCTAAAAGCAAAGACTCATATTCTTGACTACTCTAAACTACAGTGAAGTAAAAGGATCTTGCTGCTGAAGCCCTAATTCTGAGAACCACATCTCCTTTCAAATTGCCAAGTAGTTCTCAGGATTAAAAATCCAACCAGACAGAAAAATGTCTCAAGAAGGCCATTCCAAGCAGAAGAAAGATTTAGCAGCAGCAAATATGAAAGTGGCCTATTTTGCCAGGGGTCAGTGGCTCATGCTTGTAATCCTAGTTACTTGGGAGGCTGAGATAGGGAAGATAGAGGTTAAAGGTTGGCCCAGGGAAACAGTTCATAAGGCCCTATCTCCAAAAATAACCAGAGCAAAAACGAACTGGAGATGTGGCTCAAATGGCAGAGTACCCGCTTTGCAAGCGCAAAGCCCTGAGTTCAAGCCCCAGTCTCATTTAAAGAAAAAGGTCTATTTTAACAACCAGAATATTAATCTCAGTATCTCTAGATCATAGAATGTATATGTTAGGCAAAAAGAGTAAGAAATCATGATGTTCCAAACGAAGGTTTGGAGGGTTATTTGAAAAGAAGTCTGTAAGACATCCAAAATATTCAACTCATATCCCACTTAAGTTATTTTTATTTGTTTTGGTTTTGTTGGTACTGAGGTTTGAACTCAGTGCCTCGATTGAGCTATGCCCCCATCCCTTTTTTACATTAGCTTGTTTTTCACAAAGTCTTGTACTTTTGCCCTTGGTTCATAATCCTCCTACCTTCACCTCCCAAATAGATGGGATTACAGGCATGTACTACCACACCTGGCTTGTTTTTTGCAATAGTGACATAAGGAAGACTTGAACAAGACAGTATCACTAAAAATGTCAAGGAAATAACAAATCTGGCAAATATTCAGAAAGGATAATGTGAATGTCTTAGTGACAAGCTGAAAATGGGTGATTAAGTAGACCAAATCAAGGATGATTCCCAAATTTCTTAAGTAACTGATATGGGAATACCAGTTTTGCACTAAACCAGATCACAAGGCATTAAATATAAAAAGATGAACTTGAGTAAACACTCCAAGAAACTCATAAATCTACATGAGGAACAACCATGCATTCAACAAATTAGCTGTAATAACAGGTAACAGAGACTATTGGAGGAAAAGATCAGAGGAAACAAGTGAAAAAAAAATTACTTCATTTTATGTTTTCATATGTAGAAGTTGCAGTATTTGTTCAGAAGTAGAGTGTTATATAGAGAAACAGTACTGCTTGTTCACAATCAAGTTGAAATTTCAGTAGACAGTTAAAAATAATAGTTCTACAGTTCAGGAGAGGTAAGGACAACACAAATTACAAAAACAAACAAAAAAATCTAGATGATTTGGGAAGAAATTTTAGAATGCACAAAAACAGCAAAGTAGAGAAAATAGGTTCAGAAACCAGCAAAATAGAAGCAACCAGAGACTAAAGATTGTTCAGAGAAAAAGAAAAAGAAACTAGACATAATGGCTAAAACCAAAGAACAGTTTAAAGAAAGTTAAGTCATCAGTAGTGTCAAAGGCCTCTCGAACACGAAATACATTGACAGTTCAGAATTTCTACAAGGAAAACTTGTATGCACATATGAATAATAAAAGAAAAATGAAAAAAAAATGCATTGAATCCATATAGCACAGCAGGGAAGTATTTCAAGAAAGGAGTCAAGCTCTTCACAAGTTCAAGTAAGGATCAAAAATGTCCATTTGACTTATCCCCCAGGAAATCACTGGCAACCTTTGCAAAGTGACTTCAATGGTACAGAATGGGAGTGATGGGGTTCCTGAGGAGACAGGAAGAAAATCCAGAGCACAACTGGAGGGACTGTCTTTAAGAAAAAGTAGAGACCACTTCTGTCGTATTTGAAAATGCAGAGGGAAACACAGAACAAAGGATGGTTATTTAGGTTCAGATCAAATTCAAAGGTTTGATGAAGGAATCTCACATCTGATGGGTTCTTTTTTGGGGGGAGGGGGGCAGGAAGTGGAGGGGAGGAGTTGAAAGTCATTTGCTGAGTTTAAAGGAATATATTGAGACTAGGCACAGTGGCTCACACCTGTAATCCCAGCTACTCAGAAGGCAGAGATCAGGCAAAAAGTTAGCAAGAAGCTATGATATAAGAACTTTTCCAAATGTAACCCCAAGTACAACAAAAGAAAAAAAAAGGAAAAGAAAAAAGTTAGCAAGAACCCTATCACAAGTCAGACATGGTGGCACGCACCTGTCATCTCAACTATGTGGAAGGCTGCAGAGAGGACTGAGTTTCAGGGTCCCTCTGCACAAAAATGTGAGACCCTATCTGAAAAATTTTAGCCAAAAGGACTGGAGGCATGACTCAAGTGGTGGAATCAGGCACGAGGCCATGAGTTCAAACCCCAGTACCACAAAGAAAAGGAAGATTATCTAAATAATCACTGTAGAGGATAGCAAAGAGAATTAAATAGGAAAATCTAGAAGGCACAATAGAAGACTATTCACTCTCCAAAAACTGATTACAATTCCTGGAATACATTCCACTGAAACACATTCTCATTGTTTAAAATCCATTGTTACTTCTACTTGTTCACCAGGAGAAATCCTAGTTACACTTTGAAACGACTCTACCCAGAAAGGCTTTCATGACACTACCTCACCAATCCCTAACCTCTAGTTACCATCCTCTGCATTAATGCTCTACTTTGTACACAATCCTACTGCTACTACATAGGATAATTTCCCCTACTAGATGGTGAGCTACTTGAGTGGGAACTTCATAAAAAGTTCAAAACTTGACTAAATTGCATTTCAACTAAGATGCAAAGATGCATGAGACAGAGACCTTAAACTAAAGGATCCAACATAATCTAGTTCAGAAAACATCAGTAGCTTTGACAAAAGTACCCAAGTTATAATGAAAAGGCAGATAATTAAGGCAATAACAAAATATTCAACAGTCAAAGAACATACAATAATTCAGAACTTAATTTCAATCATTTATAACCCACTTCGGGCTACAAATGGGAACATATTTTTTTTGCGTCAATACTCAATGTTAGAAATATTCTACACCTACTGTATGCAAGATACTATTAATACTATGGAATATAAAACGGAGTTCTACAATACAGCGGGTGCGATTATGGCAGGTGTACAACTGATTTTAATACAAGGTAGAATGTTATGTCCATAAGGGAAAATATTAAGAACAGGTGAGAAGGGCCCTATGTTTACCCTGTGAAATATGAACTTCATCCTGAAGGATAAGAGACTCATGGCATGTTAACTACATTGACACAACTGAATGTGCTTTGTAACTGTACTATAACTTATGTGGGTCAAGTTCTCTCCAAAATCGACTACCATAAATTTCATTTTTGTGTTCCACACAAGTGCATATTCCCGGCCTGGACAAAACACAGGTGTAACTGCGGATAACTGCTTAAAAGCCTGCAAAAAGGGACACCTGTATAACCCAAGAAACGAACGGTGTTTTCAACTCCACTTTAATGAGCCCCTCCCTCTTTCATTAAGCGTGTGCCATCTGTCCTGGGTGGGAGCACACTTCTGGGCTCCAACTCTTAACTCTTCGCCCTTTCGTCAACAGCTGTGGCTGCAGGCGGTGACTGCCGACGCAGACCAATGGGTGCGGGGTCCTGCAACTTCAGCAAGCCCCGGACGCGTGAGGACAGAGTCAAAACCGGAGCAAGGCCAAGCGTCCCCAAGACACCGGAAGGGAAGGGAGAAGGCGTCCTTGCGCGAACTCGTGGGCCAAGGCAGTACCGGAACGCCAGGGGGCTGGGCGGAGGGGAGTGGTCAAGTCGAGACGGGAAAAGTTTCTGCCGAGCGACGGGTTGAGTCCACCAGCTCGGCCCAAGCACGGAGCAGAGCAACCCCAGCCCTACCAACTGGTCAGGCGCCGACTCCTTACCGTCCTGCAGAAGCTCCCGCACTGTCGCTGCAGCTGTTGCGGAACCCAGCGCACCACGGCCAGCCACAGCGATGCCACCGTCGCCACCTTCCATGTTGGCAGGTGCCGGGTTGATGACGTCAGTGGCGGTCCCGCCTCCGCCCCGCCCAGATGGTGACGCAGAATCCAGGCGCCTCCCGCCTCGTCAGCTCGCGGCTGCTTGGTCCTCGCCAGGCCAGACACAGCAGCCGCGGTAGGAGCGAGCTTGGCTGGGAGTGGCGTGGAGACCCGAGCTGGCGGGAGCTGGGGACCCGGGTGCTCAGTATCGCCAAACTCGCGTTGTCCGCTGCCGCCGGCCGCAGCTCCGAGCCGCGCGCGCCCCCCGGGCTGACGTCGTTTCCCCCGCCGAGGACAAGGTGGGCGCCGGCACGTGGCCGTGGCGCTTTTCTCTAAAGCAAGTATTAGTCGTACAGCCCGGGCCTCGAGGTTCGGGAGCGTGGCCGCACTCCACACCCGCACGGGCGCGAAATTGCCACCAGCTCTGTCTGTCCCGCGCCTTGAGTGGCGATCCAGGGGTAAACGCAGGCGGGAAGCGTGTTGTTAGTACTTCATAGATCCAAAAGCATTTAGTACTCGTAGCTACTCAGGTGAGCAAGTCTCCGCTACACACCAGCATTATGCTTTCTTGTCTTGGCCTCAGGGTTTTCCCTGATGTAATACACTAATTGTCTGTTTCAGTCATGATGCTATTTGGATCGATTATTCAGAGTGAAGGACACATGAATTACCAAGGGTAGTGTGCTTAGACTCGCATTAGGTTTCATGATCCATAACGAACAAAACTAGGTTGTCGTTAGTAATTCTCTACTAACTACACAGATTATAGTACTATCTGTGAATTACAGAATTTTTCTTCCTTAGCTTTTTTACATTGGTTAATGTTCATAAAATGAAGTTTTGAACCCTTACTATATATACTAGCACGAATGTACAAATAAATAAAGAATCCTTTCGGATTCAATCTGAATCCGAAAGGAAATAATAGGTAAGATAGCCCATTTAAATAAAAGACCAGAGATACTGTCCAGTGTGTGGATTTCCGTATTCCAATAGTTTCGAGATAGGCTACACATTGAAATCACCTGGAGAACTTTAAAAAAAAAAAAAACTATGCATTCCATAAACGCAGAGATTCTGATTTAATTGATCTTCGAGTATATATATATATATATATATATATGGTTTTTTTTGGCGGGACTGATGTTTGAATTCAGGACCTCATGCTTGTTAGGCACACTATGGCGTGAGCCAGTCCACCAGCCCCTTTTGTACTGGGTATTTTCAAACTATTTGCTCTGGGCTGACTTTGAACTTCAATCCTCCTGATTTCTGCTTCCTGAATAGCTAGGATTATAGGTGTGTACTACCAGTGCCTTGCTGATCTTTGATTTTTTAAAAGCTCCCAAATTGTAATACATATCCAAATATATATTGAGGGAGACCACTGTAACTACAAACATAGAATGAAATTCTTGCTAAAGTCACTAGTAATTTTATTGCCACTGGACACTTTGTAGTGTTTACTTCTGTCTTCCCTCTTTATTTTTGAATATCACTCTAGGTTTGTTCTTCCCAGCTCCACAGTGCATCTGTGCTTCTCCTTTACACTCCCCTTTTCCTGTACTTAAATGTTGGTACTTCAAGGATTTCTTTCAAGATATGGCATCCTTAAGTACCTTGACCATGTTTAAGTTGTTTTAACTTTTACCAAAACTTAAAGACTCAATTTTTCAGTAAAGCTAATTTTTGGAATTAGTTTTTAATCTGTTTCTAAGTTACACTGCCAAAATCGGAATATGAAAAGCAGCATACACTGTACATAAAGCACTTAATTTTGTTATTCATGTTTCTTGGAGTATAAAAGTGGTTTACAATTTAATCATATGGTTATAATCCAAATTTTCACTGGTGGTAACAGGTTTAATTTTTTTTAAATAATAAAGATTTACCATCTGAGGCACAAAGAATTAGAATACTAGGACATGTTTTGAAACACTAAAGTTTGTTCTACTGATAACCTTTGACACTTGAATAAAATGAAATGTTTTTTAGAATTCAACATTTAAATTTTTATTGTGATAAGAACTCAATATAAATTGTAACATCAAAAAATACACAATACAGTATTGTTAATTATAGGCACATTTTACAGCAGATCTTCACAAGTAATTCATCTTGCATAACTGACACTTTATGCCTGGTGATTAGCAATTCCCCATTTCTCCTTCTTTCAGACCACCATTCTTTCTGCTGTAAGTTTAACTATTCTAGATGCCTCATATAAATGAAACATTAGTCCTTCTATGACCAACTAATTTCACTCAGCCAGGTGTCCATGAGGTTCATCCATGATACTGCATATTTCAGAATTTCCTTTTTTAAGAGTGAATAATATTCCATTACTTGCATATGCCACATTTTCTTTATCCATTCATGCATCAATGTGCATTTAGGCTGTTGTTTCTGAGTCTTATCTATTGTGAATACTGCTTCAATAAAGACAGGAATGCTAGTATTTGCTAGAGATCTGGATGGAAATTTTTTTGGATGAACACCCAAAAGTGGGATTGCTGGATCATATGGTAGTTACTTTGGGTTCTTTTTTTTTTTTTTTTAATGTTTCATTTTTATTAGCATATATTATACGGGGGGATTCATTGTGCAGATTCTGAATAGCCCTACATTGTACACTGGTTAGATTGCCCTCCCCATTTCTCCCCCAATCCGTTCCATACTCCACTTAAAGCAATTGCAAGGTTTTATTCTATTTCATGTATGTGTATGAAGCCCACAAACCATATTCCCTCACATTCATCTCCATTCACCTCCCCATACTGTACCTATTTTGCAGTACTGTCTTTCATTTTTAATTCTAAAGTCAATGTTCAAAGGGGTTTCTTGATGTATCCTATCTGTGAATATCCTTTACTTTGGTCAATTCAACCCCACTCTGTTACTCTGCCTTACCCCTTCCCATCAACAGTTTTCAGTGAATTTCAAATTAGTTATACACAGTATTATATGGAAAGTAATTTGATTCAAATTTCTTGGTTTACCATTGCCAAAGTAAAATGGAAAAAATTTAAAGTAACATGAGGCCAAGCATGGTGGTTCATGCCAGTAATCCCAGCATGTGGAAGGTGGAGGCAGGAGTATTGCCAGATCAAAGCCAACCTGGACTACCTGTTGAGACCCTTGTCTCAAAAACAAAACAACAGAAAAAAGGTAATTTGAAAAGTCGTAACATGGTACACTAGAAAAAATCTTGTAGTTTTCCACATCTAGGTTTCCCACAATTGTCTTGTGTAGTTTTCCACATTTATAAGTAGAGGCAGAATTCAATGGTATCCTATTTGATAACATGAAAAGAAGCTAAAACAATTTCTCGGTGCATATGCCTGATAAAAAATATTGTTGAAATTGTTAGAATGATGAGGATTCATGTAGTGAAAGTACATTTTCTCTATGCAAACTAATTATCTCTTTCAGATTTGAAACAAATCTGTACTCATGAAGAGTGATTCCATACAAGCCACAATATGTCAAGAAAGAAAAAAAGATCCAATAGAAATGCTTCATTCTGGGCAGCTGATAAAAGTCTGTGCCCCAATGGTTCGCTATTCAAAGTAAGTGTGGTTACATGGTTAATGAACAAAGATGTAATTTCCCTTACATGTTCTGGCTTTTTTAAGTAACTGTAAGACCACTCATTGCATGGGATGTTCAAACTCCTAGCTTTGGTCAGAATCATGATCCAGAATTAAGTCCTGGCGCTACCACTTAACTGGTATGAGTGTGGCCCTTAGTAAACAATCCCTCCAAGCATCACCTTTCTTATCTATAAAAATGGTTGCTGGTTGTACTTCCATCTATAATAGTATAGTGGGTAAGAAATAGACATAAACATTCACATACAGGTCAATGTGTGTCTTAGGACAAATGCATAGTACAATTGCTAGAATAAAAGTCTTTGTTAAACTCCTGAGCTTTTCTAGCATGGCCATACTATTTCACACTTCAACCTAACAACATATGAGGAATCCAGTTTCTCCTCATTCTCAACAACTTTTGATGTTTTTATTCTAACCTTTTTTGATAGGTACATACTGATACCTCATTGTGACCTTAATTTGCATTTCCTATGTCACTAATGATGTTGAACATCTTTTCATGTTCTTATTTACCATCTGTGTGTGTGTGTATTCTTTTTTGGCAGTACTGGAGTTTGAACTCAGGACCTGACGTTTGCTAGACAGTACTCTACCATTTGAGCCATTCTGCCAGCCCTTTTTGTGTTGGTTATTTTCAAGATAGGGTCTCTCGAACTATTTGCCCAAGCTGCCTTCAAACCGCTATCCTCCAGATCTCTGCTTCCTGAGTAGCTAGGATTACAGGTGTGAGCCACCAGCACCTGGCCCATCTGTATATTTTTAAAATGCTTCCTCATGTCTTTTGCCCATATTTAATTGTTTTTTTTTATTACTGAGGTTTTCTTTTTTTCTGAAGCACATGTCACCTTTCCTTCTTGTTTTAAATCATTTGCTGTTTTGAGGCAGAGTCTTGCTATATTGACCAAGCTGGCCTCGAAATTGCATTCCTCTTGCGTAGGTCTAACCTGCTAAAAATGCAGGTGTGTGCTACCTAGCCTGGATGTCCTTCCTTTTAAAGGTTTGAACATTAGTCCACTGTGTATGTACACTGCATTTTGTTTATCCATTTATATGTTGATGTACACTGCTTCCACCTTTTGGCTATTGCTGCTTATGAGCATGGGTCTCTTTGAGACCCTGAGCTCATTTCTTTTTGATTGTAATCTCAGAAGTGGAATGACTGGGTCATGTGGTAATTCTTTAATTTTTTTGAGGAACCATACTGTTTTCCTTAGAGGCTTCACCATTGCAGTGCACAAAGTCCCAGTTTCTTCACATCTTGGCCAGTACTTATTTTTCTTTTACCATCTTTTTTTTTTTGCTGGTACTAGGGTTTGAACTAAGCTCCTTGCACTTGCTAGGCAGGCACTCTACCACTTGAGCCACTCCACCAGCTTATTTTTCTTTTAATATACTCATCCTAATGGGTATAAAGTGGACCTCCTTGTGGTTTTGATTTGCATTCCCCTAACACTGAGTGATGTTGAGAATCTTTTTATGTGTATGTCAGCTATTTGATATCTTCATTGTAGAAATGTCTATTCAAATACTTTGCACATTTTTAATCCAGTTTTTTCATGTTGTTTACTATTAAGGATTCATTATATATTCTAGATGCTACTCCTTTGTCAGCTATGTAGTTTGCAAATATTTTCTCCCAGTATGTAGCTTATCTGTTTCACAGAGCAAATATTTTTCATCTGGTGAAGTCCATTTTATCAGTTTTTCCTTGTGTAAAGAATTTGTGTAAATCTTTATGAGTTTAAGATCCTGAAGATTTTTTTTCTGACTTTTCTAAAAGTTTTTTAGGTTTTATGTTTTACAGGGCTTTACACTTGCTACTCCCAGTCTCACAAAAATAAACAAATAAAATTGAAGAGGTTCTCCTCTACTGAGTTGTTTTCTTTCTGGGAATAAGAATATTTTGTCATGCAAAGCCCTCAATTCAAAACCTGACACCACCAAAAAATATATATATATATTTTTTCAGATGTTTTTTCTGCATTAATTTGATGTAGAAAAATTTGATTTTTCTTCCTTAGCATGTTGATATAGCAGATCGCGCTGACTGATTTTGAATATTGAACCTTCTATTGTAATTGGACTTTTCTTGATACTGCTCCAACAAGGAAAGGTGGGGAGGGGGCACCATCTCATTACTATCAGCATTAAGTCCAGATTCTCTACTTGGCTTCCTATGACATCTGAGGCATTACGGGCTCCTCATTACTGCTGGCAGGGGTGAGAGTTGCAGTTCATTTAGGTTAAGGTGTCCTCATAATTGCTGGTCAATACTGAAAGCCTTGGCTCTTCACTATTCTCCTCTCATAGCATGCCCAAGTAGTGGGAGAGGGTGTGTTAATACTGCTGTAGTAGACATGGAAGTCTACACTGTCCATGTGATCTGATACCACCAGGGTAAAAAGTTTCAGACCCCATCAGGCCTTTTTTGGACACTACCACAGTGGGATGTTGGAGCACATAATTATGGTAGAGGTCTGAGTGGTAAAGCCAAAGTTTCCTCTATACTGTTTGGCTGGAGTAGAATCATTATTATCTTAAAAGTTTTCTGTCTTCCTAGGTTTGTCCTTTCCTTGTGCTTTGATTAGAAAGACATCTGAGCAGCTTTTTACCTGTCCCACTAGTGATTTCATATGGCCAGCCTCTTCAACCCCCAAGTCTGAGATGTTTTAGGCAAAAAGAAAACCCAGAGAACCTCACCACTCTCTCATTTCTTGGTACCCCATGTCATTAGCCTGACTGCCCTCTTATCTTCACCTTTCAGAATTTGCTTATGATTCTTTTATATGTAATATCCAGGGTTTTTAGTTATACTTATCAGGAAGACTAGGAAAAAGTACATTTACTCCATCTTCACATAAACAGAACTCTCCCTAACATTTAAGAATTAACCAAGCTAATGATTAAGTACATATGATTACGGTGTATTCTAAATGCATAATTAAAATTTTATGTGCTCACAGGTTGGCTTTTAGAACATTAGTAAGAAAATACTGTTGTGATCTGTGTTATACACCAATGATAGTGGCTGCTGATTTTGTCAGATCTATGAAAGCCAGAGACAGTGAATTTACCACAAACCAAGGTACGTGAAACCCATAGTTTGCTGACTTTGTAAAACATTTTAAAAAAATTGCAAACTCATTTTATCTTACCAGATAATAAGATATTTTACATTATGATCCTTTAGTTTTTAAATGTCTTTAGTATTTTACATATCATAGTACTGAGTGCCTTGTAAGCCATCAGTGGTCGATCGAGATTTAAAGTCCTCCTTTCTTTAAATTTGTCTCATTGCCTGTGGTCTTGTCCCATTCCAAGATGAGCCAAGATGACCTATCTAAAATAGAGATTTGATCATGTCTCTTCCCTGCTTACAGTCTTTGGAACTCTCAGTGCCAAAGGTTCTCCATGTGAACCCCAGACCAGAAGTATTCATATTATTTAGAAATTTGTCAGAAGTGAACATTTTCAGGCTCCCCCCAAACCTACTGAATCAGAAACTCTGGGTGTGCAGCCCAGCAATCTATTTTGAAAAGCTATCCAAGTAATTCTATGCTTGCTAAAGGTTGTGAACCACTAACTTGAAGACTAAAATTCCTGCACCTATGGATAGGTGATTCAGCTTATGAATATGTCTTCTGCAGCCTTATCATCTATTAATTTCTTCCTACAGCCCATTAACTTTATTCTTCCAAAAATACTAAATTATTATTTTTAGTTTCTCAACATGCATTATTTTCTCACACATCCCTATCTAGAGAATCCTTCCCAATCATGCCTATGCCCCAGATCCTCTCTCTGGCAAACTAAGTTCATGATTGTTAATCTACCTGTAAAGTTAGATTCAACTTTAGTCAAGAAACCTTTCCAATCACTATACGCATGCTGTCCCTCATAAGCACAGGCTGTATTGCTGTACTTAATCCTACTGTATAATAATTCCCTTCTTATATACCATTCCAGTATATTATAGGTTCCTTGAGGTCTGGAGCTATAGAAATAGCTTGATTTGTATCCTTAGCATCTAACAGTGTTGAAAATACATTAGACCAATAAATTGTTGTTAAATTGAAATTCTGTAACTTGAGGTACAAAAGGAAAAAGCACCCTATATGCTCATGAAAAAGCAAATTATGCTTTCCCATAGTAATTCTATAAATCGGTGGATTGCCATAGAAATCTTGGGTCAGTACAACTGGGATAATGCCCAGAAATGCATTTTGACGCTCAGTGAATCACATATAAGTAGTCTTTAAGAAAGTCTTACAAATGCTAAAATATGTCTCTAGAGTTTGTAACACTAACCAAAGATGAGAAAAATACGTTCTTTAAAAGCTAGAAAAGAGCTGGAAGTGTGGGTCAAGTGTAGAGTGCCTGCTTTGCAAGTGTGAAGCCCTGAGTTCAAAACCTAGCCCCACCAAAAAATAACAACAACAAAAAAGTGGCCACCTGTGGTTCACACCTGTAATCCTAGCTCAGGAAGCAGAGATCAAGAGGATTACAGTTCAAAGCCAGCCTGGGCAAACAGTTCAGGAGACCCTATCTTGAAAAAAATCCTTCACAAAAAAAGGGTTGGTGGAGTGGCGCTCAAGGGAGTTCAAGCTCTAGCACTGCAAATAAATAAATAAGAGCTAGGAAAGCACTGATACACTTGACTACATTAAACTTTTATATATAAATGCACTAATACACTCAAAGATTAAGAACTGAGAAAATATAATACACGATAGATAGCAGAGCTGTCTATCGTGTATTATATGAAGAAAGAATATACAATGTAGGATAAGTTGTTAAAAAACAAGAATGTTTACCCATTTTGATATGTACTTATATGGCTAAACTCTAGGAAAATAAGGTAGTAATATCTGTCACATTATTAAATACCTGTCCAACAATTATATTTCTATGATTTTACTGTAGGAATATACTCACAAAAGCATGTATGCAAGAGTATCTTTATTGCAGCATTACTTGCAAGAGCCACAAATAACAGTCTAGAAATAGTGTGTGGTCTATCCATATGGTGGAACTTGCCACTAAAAAGAAGAAAATACATCTGAACGCATCTCCCAGATACATCAGGAAAAGAACAGTAGGCTTAGCAGTGTATATAGAATGTTAACACTTACATTTTACAGGTATACAAAAAATAATTCTGTAATATACCAATTCCTACTTTTAAGAAGAGATTCTGTACCTCAGGAGTGGTTTGTACTATTTGAATTTTTACATAATGTAAATTGCTTTTAATTTAAAATTGTTTGATACTATCTTATTGAACAGATGTTACTTGGGCTAAAAATATTTTATCCTTTTCACACTTGGTTTAGTGTCATGTGTATACATGTGTGTATGCGTGTATGTGTGGCTTTCTTCCCCTGTGGATTTTAATGTTGAGCTATTCATTTTATCAGGTGATTGCCCATTGATTGTTCAGTTTGCTGCTAATGATGCAAGACTTTTATCTGATGCCGCTCGCATAGTGTGTCCTTATGCAAATGGAATAGACATTAACTGTGGTTGCCCTCAGAGGTAAAGCTCAAAGAGTTTTCAAAAAGATTAGAAAATATGTGAATATGGTAAAATGTTTTTCTAGTTTTCCAAAAACTAAAAAAAGGACATAGAGTTAAAGCACCAGGGTCTAAACAAGAAGGAATGAAAACACAGAATGATTATTTAAGAACTTCAATGGTTTTTATTGATGGCTAAAATGATGTAGAGACCTTTAGCAAGTATTTTGCCTCCTTCATCACTATCATTTTTGTGTGTGTGTGTGAATCTGCCTTCGTTATGTGAGACTAATGTTAACAGCCGTCCCTAAAATGTATTTTCACTGCCATATCTGATACATTTGCTCTAACAACAGATTCTGTGATTTGGGAGATATGACATGTTTTCTCGTAACTAATTCCTTTACAAAAATACCTTATGGGAACTACTTTTTTTTTTTCATACCACAGTTATTTGATTGGGTTTAAGTAACTGAGTTTAATAGGATGCACTTATTTTGACAATAATCTCCCTACTGCGCTGGCACTGTACTAGGCTATCTGTCAATAATTCAAAATGTGTCCAAAGAATAAAATCAAGGTTTTAAGTGCAACATAATCCAAATCAGATTAGACATATTTGTATACTCATTAGGAGCATTAAATAAGCTATTTAGTGGTGTTGGAATGTTGTAAGCCAAAAATATCTTTCTAGTATTAAAACTAATAAAACCTCTTGTTATACACAATAAACATCAAATTTGGAATTTGGTAAATCTGAAGTAATTGTATTTAATTATAAATATTAAATCTGTTTTGGTTGAATGAATTCTAATTTAATATTCTCGCCTGTGAAAATGATTTTACCTCAGTACTTTTTGATCTAAGAACATGTTTTCCTAGCCTCATTATCGATTTAGAAATGAGAAGTTTGAAAATCTATGAATTTTGAAATCTCCTTCATTCCAGATCACTAGCTAGAGAAATATAGATGCACTGACTGTTTCAATGCTTTTAGAATTTTTTCCTCCCTTCCAACTGTTTGCAATCCATTTGTTGTGTGTTTGCTTTCTGAAGGTGGGCAATGGCAGAAGGCTATGGAGCTTGCTTAATAAACAAGCCAGACCTTGTTCAAGATATGGTGAAACAAGTTAGAAATCAAGTGGAAAACCCCAGATTTTCAGTGTCCATTAAAATAAGGTCAAAACAATATTTTAATCTACTCATTTTGTCTGGTTATGTGGGAGTGTCTAACCTAAATAGATAGCTGGTATATGGAAATGTTAAAACAAGGTATTTAGTAAACAAATATATACCCTTATTTTTACTTGTAATTCTTCCTCTTTTAATTTTTTAACAAAAATTAAAACATTCCTTTATGAAAAGATTTTACCAAACCCTCACCTTTTTCTAAGTACTATTTAATTTATGTTAAGAAGCATTTCTGGTACTAAGGAGAAAATAGGAATATTTGTACTAAAATTCCACAAGGAAAATAAGCCAACACTATTTTTTTGGTGAAAACTTAAAAACATTTCCAGATAAAGTATTATATTCTTCCTCTTGGGAACTGAAGCATGCACATCAAATATTAAAATAACATCTTTCCATTCTTCTATGCCAATACTTCGAAAACTCAAAGCCAAAAGGGAGATGCAGTAAGTGGGATAAAACTCATTTGTCATCCTATTGTTTCCAGTAATGAAATGACTAAATTTGAGGTCTTGGGTAGAAACTGATCCCTACATAAAATGTTATTGATAGTGGCATGAAGCACTACTATGATAGAGCAAAGATAGCTAAAATAATGTAGTAGGTAAAATACCATTTTATTTAATTTTAGTATTAAAATTTATGTGCTGTGAACAGATAGATATAATTTTGAAATTATAGGATCCATGACAACCTTGCAAAAACTGTAGATCTTTGTCGAAAGGCTGAAGCAACTGGGGTTTCCTGGATTACAGTCCATGGGAGAACTACTGAAGAAAGACATCAGCCAGTCCACTATGATGCCATTAAAATAATAAAGGAAAATATGTCTATACCTATAATTGCTAATGGAGACATCAGAAGCTTAAAAGAAGCAGAAAATGTGAGGCAGATTACTGGGACAGATGGTAAGAAATAACTTGAATTTTTTATCTTTTAATTAGAAAATGAAAATGAAGGAATAATGTTAATTTGATTTTCATTATTTTTCTTTAACACTGGGCCATATTTTCCTGTCATACTGATTTAAGAACTGAACAGTTTACTAAAATGTTGGTAGCTCTTCATCCTACAAACAATAGATAATTTTAACTGGGGTAAATTAATTCAGTTATTTCTATGCTACCATCATATTTAGTGACTAGTTAATAATCTTCCAGATAGTCTATTTGTAAAATAAAGCACCTAGAATAGAAATGAGTTAAGGAACTTGAGTGATCATAGGAGCCAAAGGAACCCAAGAACTGCTATGTAGTTTCATTATCCCCTTACATTTGGCATACCAAGCCCTATGACAGCTATTGCTAGATGGGAGAATGCACATATACTTCACTTTAAGCAGCCCAATTTATGACAATCTGAATTTACCATAAAGAAAAACGAAAGGCCAGGCTGGCAGAGTGGCTCAAGTGTCAGAGTGCCTGCCTAGCAAGTGTGAAACCCTGAGTTCAAATTTCAGTACCACCCAGAAAAAAAAATAAAAATAAAGACCAATTGCTTAACATAGAAATCTTTGAAAAATAAAGAATTTTATAAATATATTTAACTTTCTTGGTTTACAAATGGCACCAAAAATAGTTTCATTAATTAAACAGACTAATTTTAATAAGGGTATTGTGAAACCTTGTAATACTTAATTTTTTAATATAGCGTTTGAGTTTAAATAACCATGCGTTCTTATGTACAGACAAATATGGCATGCTTTCATTTGTAGGTGTGATGGTTGCAAGAGGACTTTTAACCAACCCAGCCATGTTTGCTGGATACGAAGAAACCCCACTGAAATGCATCTGGGACTGGGTTGACATCGCTCTTGAACTTGGAACTCCTTATATGTGTTTTCATCAACATTTAATGTACATGATGGAAAAAATAACTTCAAGGCAGGAAAAAAGAATATTCAATGCTCTGTCAAGCACATCAGCAGTCTTAGATTACCTCACAGACCATTACGGCATTTGACTGGACTTTCTAAATTATTTTAATATCATTTTATACCTACAATGAAACTATACAAGGTGACACCCAGCTTTTTACTTTAAATCAGTGGCTTTCAAACTTTAGTACAAAAAAATCCCTGGGAGCATTTTTTAAAGCTCAGACCTACATCCCCATCCTCAGAGATTCAGATTCAGATCTTGGGTGGACCCAGAAAATTTATTTTGAAGAGCCCAGGTGGTTCAACCATCCTGGACATCCTAGGTCCAAATATTGACAAACTATGCTCTGAATCTTTATGGATTGGGAGTGGCAGAGAGGTGGTGGTGGGGTCCCCAAAGAAATCATGTTTTTAACATTTTAAAATAAAACTTTATATTTTACTATCAAAGTGTGACTTGTATCTGTAAGTTAACAAGAAGTATGTTTTTAATAAAAATAAGTGCAGAAAAGTGGTAGAACAAATGCCAACATCCAAATAAAACAAAAAAGAACAAGAAATTCTGGATAGAATTGTATTCAAGGTTTACATTAAAAATCCAAATTGGAAATCAAAGTGGTACACTTCCCAATTGAATTATACACCTCCAGATATTTTATGAAATTGTATGTAACTGAATTTAGTTAGACATGATGTTATCTATAATTAAAAATTAAGATTACATGAAAGTCTTTAAAGATGGTGCATTTCAAGCTTTCTTGAAAGATCCTTGTTAAGATTGAGACTTTGATCACCCCTGTTAGAGTAGCCATCATTTGTTTGCTAATTTTTTTTTTGTGGTGCTGGGAATTGAACCCAGGGCCTTGAGCATGGTAGGCAAGTACTCTACCACTGAGCCATATCCCCACCCTAGAATAGCCATCATTAGCAACACCACCACCAACAGGTGTTGGCGAGGATGCAGGGGGAAAAAGGAACCCTCTTACACTGTTGGTGGGAATGTAAACTAGTACAACCACTCTGGAAAAATATTTGG